TTTCACGCCCCTGTGCATGAAAATTATTCTTTTTCTCGTGCGCACATACTCCACACACGATCCCTCTGAACAGCTTTTTTTTTGCAAAACAAAACAAAAAGCGTACCCCTAACGGGCCACACTTTTCGCAAAAAAAAAACTATTATTATTCTTTTTCTCGTGCGCACATACTCCACACACGATCCCTCTACAATTGTAGACAGCTTTTTTTGCAAAACAAAAAGCGTACCCCTAAACGGGCCACTCTTTTCGCAAAAAAAAACTATTGAAAAAAACACACGTTACGTGTTGGCGCCAATGTTTGAAAAACTCCACTTTTTTTATATGCACACATCACAAATCCTGGAATCACATCCGGAAGCAGTCTCTCCGCTCAGAGTTTTTGGTTATTCTGCTACAACTCTCGCTGTAGTGCTGATCCAAAATCGTGCACATCATCTATGGATTGTCCACACATAGGCGATACTCACACCCCTATTCCCTGCCAATTTTGGTTCACTCCATCGGGTAACCCAACTGCATTTAGGTCCGTTGCGTGGTTCCAGGATTTCGAATACAGGCTGTTGTTGCTTTTTTCTGCTGCATTGTTCAACCCGCGACGGCGCCGTCACACGGCCAGCCAGCGCTCCATTGACTGCAGCAGAGTTGCGTGAGCGACTTGTTAGGGTTCTGTGCACAAGGTCCTTTCGAATATCACCTCACGCATAAGTATCGTAGTTACTGGTCAAGAGGTATGATCGCCAATTCCCCGAAATCGATCGTTTGCACAAACATGACGGTGCGCGCCACACGCCTAGCCACAACAGCGAACGCCTGGTCTGTTGATGTTAGCAGTCGCGCTGCCGTCGAGTGTTCGCACATGAGGTCTGGCTGAGCTATGGGTTAGTCAGCGTTTCCTTCACAGCCAATGCAACAGCAGTCCGTCGTGCCCCTGCTGCCTAGAGCCTTCCAACAGCAGTACAAAATGTGACATTTGATTTTCGAGCACACTTTCGAGCACACTTTCGAGCACACACCGTCACCGCGGCGCTCCTCACGCCACACACACTTGTTTGTGCAATCGGCAGTTGCGACGGCAACTTGCGTATGCAATGTGAGGGCCCCCACAATAATAATAGTCGCTCATATTCTCCTGCGTGAACCACTGGTTTACCGATTGTTGAAAGAGTGCAAAATGTTCCCACGGGTGGGTGGTACATATACATACGTCGCCCCGGTGGTCTAGTGGGTAACCTCGCAGCCGGGTGAGGGCCAGGTCATGGGTTCGAGTCCCGACAGATTGAGTTTTTTCTCACTTAATGAATCCTGGTCTAGGATGAAAGCGTCGCGCTATAGAGCTCGTTGCTAGTAAACCATAATCGACTTCGTAAGTCGCGAGGGAAGGGATTGCTGTACCCTTCTCGCGGTAAAAATACCTCAGGCAGGAACCGCAGGAGGGGTCCAGCCCCCCCCTCCTANGGGGTCCAACCCCCCCCTCCTATGTGACCCCGGTTGGGTCGTCTAGCTAGTAGAAGTGGAGGATAGGGGCCAGAGGGGCAGACAACAGAGTCCAATGATGGGAAAAAAAAAAAAAAACTTGGGCCGGTGTCTGTTGCATGTCGTGAGAAACCACCTACCCTCAGCCCTGATTCTCTGACCCGGTCAATAACACGACCGGTGGTGGCATGAAGATGCAACAGTAGTTGAAATGAACGCGGACGATTCTTATGTTTGACGAATTAAAAAACAAACTCTAAAATCGAAATAAGTTGTTAAGACCTCGGTTGTTCCCATAGGGTGTAAGGCATATTTTTTCATCATCACTAGTCTGTTTACTACTGTAGTCTAGTATGCATTTGCAGACCTTCCACGCGTGACAGCAACAAAAAAAGTCCTGGGGACACAACATCCTCGTTGCTCGGTCGACATGTCTGCCTGGACTTGGTAACCCACGTTGACGGGTCCAAGCATTTGGCGCCAAGCATTTGTTGGCGACATGAGAGGGGGCCGTGGTGAGAATCCCATCCCGGGCGTAGCGAACGGGGGGGGGGAGCGTACTCTTATGTTTTGCATGCCTCAGCGGTTAGACCATTGACCACGCGTCCTCGAGAGGACGGAGCATTGTTCCCACAGGACCGATCACCGATGGCCAATCGTTCCTTTCTACTTTGCCAAAGGTGGCTCAAAAATGTCTTCCCTAGTCTATCCTAACCATATCCCTTCACGCCTGTTCAACCCACCTCCTATGCCCCAGTACAGCTGCCGTCCTTTCCTCTCTATTCCATGCCTCAAACATCTCCCTGTACGTCCCATCAATTTTACCAGCTCAGTCACGTACACTTCCCTCTCCTTCTTGTACCACGGACATTCCGCGACTACATGAACACAGTCTTCGCATTCGAAGCCGCAATCACATTTGAGCTCGTCGTCTTCGTCGTCTACCGTCCTATGTTTTCGTCGACGTTCTCGAAGGCCTATATCCCCGGTCCTGAATTTCACCTTAAGCTTTGTTCCTGCATCCATTGACCTATGTAGGTAATCCTTGAACCCTATTCCTTCCTTCAACATTCCGTACACTTCTAGACCCTCCTTATCCTTGGTTTCTTTCCTTAGATTCTGTTCTCTCTCGGCACAAGCAACAGATATCTTCTCGTTGAACCCCTGTAGACCCTCTGTTTCCAGTGTTTCGTCGATGTCGAGCCCCTTCTACCCTTCCATACGTCCTCTACAACCTTCACCCATTCCGTGGGTTGTCTACCCCTTTTTGTTTGCCCACTTCGCCTCCCATAGAACGGGGGGGGGGGAAGCTATTCGCGGAAAGGTCTTCCTCGTAACAGTCCGCACGAAAATAAAGAAACTACTCTCCTGGGACGTTAGGGACGGTGTGTCGGCGGAGGCTGCTTCCGACCTGGCCATCTTTGCTGCCAGCTTTGTGGATATATTGGACGGAGAGCAAGTCGACCCCATCCTACCGGTAAGCGCCGACCTGAAGCGAGTGGGAGGGTACCTAACCCGGCTGTTGTGTCGAATGAGGTCTAGACTACACTCCAACTTTTTTTTTCTCAGTGGACAACCTTATCTACTGAGAGCTTCGTAGAGTAAATGCTACCGGATGATTGCAAACAGAGTAACAACGACAGATGCATGCGACGAGACGTACGGCGTGGAGGGAAACGTTCTTGCGACAGGCTCTGCGCTGATGTCATGTTTTTTTCGGCGCCTACACCATTTGTGCGCGATCGTACTATTCCAGGGCTATGATGGGCCTTTGGGCGAGGTTGTGGATCCTTTGGCAGAGGCTCTGTGCAACGGTGCCGCGCCGGTGGACGGTAGACGTAGGGGGAAGCCGGTGATGATTTATGGCGATGGGGCTTGTTGCACTACCGCTGCTGGGCTGGGTATCTTCGGTGCCAAATTCACAACCCCCAAGAGGGCCTGGGGATATCGCTAGCAATTCGCTGCGCAATAGTTCGGACGGCTCTGCAGGATATGGAGAAGTTCATCGCCGGTCCGCAATACGGGATCTTCTACAGTACACTGCAGGCATACGACATGGAAGTCGTGGACGCTGCCGGACGGCTGAGGTTGTTCACCCCCCATGCAATGCCAAGCGTGGCACGTGTTGTGTGCCTCCTTGAGGTGGAAGCCATAACACCACCGGACAGCTACTGCCAGCAAGCGTGCTTGCCATGGGTGGCGCAGGCTTTTGGCGTGGTGATGCGTTGCTGCCATCCAGGTGCGTTTAGATATCGTCTGTTGTTTTTCCTTTGTACAACAAGACGCTAGAGTGCAAGCCTGGGTCCGAACGGTGGACAAGTATTTCAAGCGAGAGAATCGTCGTTTCTGCCTTTCGTTGGCCTTAACGATATTTATGTTGGCCCTAATATAAAACCGATGGAGGTGTTTTGTTGGTTGTTAGATTGTATTGGTGAGCCTAGTTTGAATCGGACCAAGGTTTCCCAGTGACCTCACCCCCGGCACATCTTCAATTTCGATTCAGCAGTGTTTCGTTGAAAAAACAAATCAGCAGTTGTTGGGGTACGTCAACTGCCGGACGAGGGGAAACGCAGGAAAAGCAAGATATTTGAAAACCAACAAAACATGACGGAGTTGAAGCAACGGCACCGACCGGTGTTGACGTGTACATATCGGGCGTGAAACGTCTCACTTTTTTTCTATCAAAAGGCCGGCATTCCACGTGAAGGGGGGCGAAGAAAAGGGATGTATCAATGACGATCCCTTCTGACCCCGATGCTACCATGAAACTACACTTGACTAGGTTGTTCGATGAACGTCAGTGAGGGCGGGACCTCTTCAGGCGGAACGTGGAGCAAGGAATTGATAGGACCCCTGAACACCTCGGGGGCAGAGCCGACTATCCACCTTTCCATGAGCCTGTTGACGTACCACGAAACCTTCACTAACATACACGAGTTCTCGGAGACAACCAGACGCCAGGAGGGTCGACCGGATGGCTCGGTCGGCACAGGGTTCCAGAAAAGACAGCGGCAATTTCAGCGCCACGCCTTTCTACGCTACCGTCACCCCGCCTTGACAAAGGCCAGCGCGCCCTTGTACGTGGGGCTCGTCACGACCCAGTCGGGTTGTTGTCCGTTGTGTGCTGTGAGGTAGTCGTCCGTAAATGACGCCGAGCTCGCGTCCAGGTTCGTGTCCGGAGGCAACCTTAAAACAAAAAACAGGAAAGCGAACATGTGGGATGCAAAGGGCGTCAGAATATAAAACAACACTGTCCCGTTTGTGTTTTAGGCGAAAGGTTTTGCTCTGGAAGGTTCCAACAACACCCAAGACTTTGGACCATACCAAAGAAGAAGAAAAAATGCCTCCGTCAATGTCGGTCACTTGCAGACTATGAATTTCCCCGACATGCTTCGGCAAAAATCGGATACAGTCAAGCTTGAGTTGCTCCATGTGCGTGTACCGAAAGCAACATCTGTGCCGTGAGTACCCTCGGTTTGCGGCCTACTGAAACTATGGAGGATTCAAACAACAATGCATGTCGTTTACACAGCCAAACTTCGACGATAAAAAAGGGCGGAATGTGGGCACCACATGTCAGTACATAAGGCTTGGGGCACCTTATCTCGTGTCGGGCAAACACCCTTTTTACAGTGGCGTCAGCGGCAGGATGTCATCTCTGCAATGTCAAAGACCCGGGTTCGCATCCGGGCACGTGAAAATGGGTTTGTTGTCCGCCGCCAGCCGGTCGGGTTCCCGTTACCGTACATACTACGGGGGGTGCGTCGTGGTACCCGCGTATTTGTCTACGATGCTGAGCTGTCCGCTCGCTCGTATCCGGGGGGGTATGTGGGCACCACATGCCAGTACATAAGGCTTGGGGCATCTTATCTCGTGTCGGGCAAACACCCTTTTTACAGGAACAAACAAATGAGCGTCCGCTGGTGCGAGCCTACCTACGATGGGACCTACGAAAGAACACACGTAAAGCTTAGAGCATATTGCACAACTAGGTCCGTCGTATGTAACTCAGCAGCATTGAGAACAGATTGACTGTTATTCGCCTAGCCGGATGTACATGCCTGTAGCTAGCATCCTTGCGACGGACCACACCAAGAGGCAAACAGCGTTCATGATGCGCCTACGAGTTACGTCATTTCGTGCTGGGTAGTTCAAGGCTATGTTGCGCTAGAACACCCAGCGCTATGGATGGCAGGACGGGTGGCTATCTAGTTCGCATACCTCACCCCAAGCACACAAAAGAAACGCGCAGCATCATCTCACCTCAGTCGTACATCGTTCGTGAGTACTTGGCACGTGTCTCGAAGGCGAGTCACTATTATACAGCATCACCCGCCCCCCCGCACATGTCCAGCACACACCCGCTGATGGGAACAACACCCAGCAAATCCTCCAAAGCCGCGGGCGAAGTGCAGTAGCGAACACAGGCGTTTGAGCTGCTTGACAGATTCAGGAGCGCACGTCCACTTCGGCCCTCGCTCTGCTCGGCGTTCGCTAGGCGCCCTGCTCTCCTTTTGCTGGTTCAGGACGAACAACTCCAATAGGCAACCCCCACGTTTACACTGGACGAGCTTGTCTATGTCTGCAAGGCGGGGAACTTGTCTGCCACGCCGGCTACCTCCACGAATGCCCGAACATTACCCCCGGTCCTTTCTCTCATGCAGCGAACGTCAACTCTTGCCGTCGGTTGCCGGCATGCGCTGCAGCATTCCTCAGAAATCACCCTGTCCGACATAAGATATGGCAGCAACATTCTACGTGTTAATTTGGGAGCTTCATGTGAGGGAAAGTGAACCAAGGGCACACATACAGCATCCTGTTACTTTCATGGCTAAACAAGTAGTGCAAGAGAGGCACGGGGGCCTCTTAAGACCACTGTTTATGGCGGCGGAATCTCAATCTTAATCTTGATTTTTGGT